GGCTTTGGTGGCATTTTAGTTGTCAAACCAACAAGTGCACTATATGAAAAACTCTTAGGTGTCGTTTGAAAACGAAACTGAGAGAAAGTGCCCACTGGTAATTAGAAAAAGAGCCAACTCTGCGGGAGCACACTCAAACACGACTTACACTATGCCGCCATTAGCCGGAAGTCCCATAATTTAATATTTTCTAACATAACACTTGTTATAAACACGTTGAGTCAGAATCAGCTTCTTTTGGTTTGTTTATGTCTGCATTTCTGATTCCACCAAACCAAAATGAGAAACACTTCCCCACATCCTCCTGTAGAGGGCGCCCTCACCTCACTGCTCACCTGCCAACAGGAAGTTACTGAATCTCTTCAGTCACCTGTGRACCCGGCCCTGTGCACGAGGTAAAAACAAAAAGAAGTGATTTTAATTTAAAGTGAACTTATTTCATGGCTGACATTTTGACTTGAAATTGAAAAACCATGTTAATTAATTAGGTCTACACCTGTTGCATATTAGCATTTAGCATGTGATGAATATCATACCAAATTTTAGCTCAGCATATGAAAAGACTGCTTTGGTGGCCATCTTGAATCAGAATGACTCTAAAAACAGTTGCAGAGATTTATTTTGCCAGGCTTCACCATGCACTCCTTAACTTCCTGTACTTTTCTAATGACAGTAAAGGTTTCTAAAATAGTCAAAAAAAATTCTTTTTGATTTTTTTTCTACCTGAATTACTGAGATGCATCAGGACATTTCTAAAATAGTATTGCACGAGTTGCTATAAATATGATTGCAACAATTCACTTGACTGGTGTCACACTCAGTCTAGGCATTTTTAAAGAGCTACCTGCAACAGTAAATTGTAATCTTTTCTCAGATCATTTTAGGCCAAACCTTTTTACTTTAAAAGGTCTACAATGGTAAAATACATTGTCTGACTGTCTAAATTAAGCGGTTCTCTTTTTGAAAATCTCGTGATTTTGACCACAAACATTTTTCCCTTTACTTCAGGAAGAATTGTTTTTAATGTCAGTCACACATGAAGTCAATGAATAACTCTGTGACTTAGGCTTAACTTGTTATGTGCAGCTG